GGGGGGGGGGGGGGGCCACACGGTCCACGGACAGAGGCCCCTGTGCCGCAGCGGCTCCCCCGTGAAGTGACCATGTGGCAGTAAGGTGTCCTCTTGTTCCCGAAACTCGTGAGAGCTTATCAGGGGTGGTTTTCGTATTGTAAGTAATTATGGATCTGTCCTTAAAAATAAATGATCCTTCTTAAAGTGTTGCGTTAGATTTTTAAGATGGGAAGAGCCTTCCTTTGGCCAAATTGAATTTCCCCGAATTCTGCTTGTTAGGAGTCTGGAGAGACCAGATCCTAGAGAAATTTCCATGAGTTCTATCTTCCAGACTTGATGTGGCTCAGGAGACCGAGATTCACACCGTAACTCCTCCCCCACAAGCACCTACACCGACTGCTCACTTCCTACTGACGCTGCCACCACTGTTCCCGGGAGCCTGACCGAGGCCCCTTTCTGCAGGTTCCGGACACGGTGTGGAGTAAGGAGGGAGCGCAGGGAGAGTGGTTCTGTCTACGCAGCCACCTTCAAGGGACCGGAGGAAACGGTGACTCAGATCAGCCTCGGCACAGAATTCTCTGCCCCTGCCCACACCGGTGGTGTCAGAAGTTCGAGTCCCGGCTGCCACTTACTGGCGGTCTTAGGGCCTCGCAGCCGATCTGCTTCTCCAGTGTCCCCTGACCTCTGCTTCACCTGGTCTGAGGGCAAGAACGCCCCGCCGTCAGGGGGCCGTGAGGACTGAACCACCCGGCATGTGGACGGGACCTCACACATGGCAGGCTGCTACCGTTCGGGACTTGGATTTGAGGGAGACAGTCTCCCCTGGAGAGCCGGCTTCCCCTGCCTGACCCTCCTCCTCGAGGATTCCGTCAGAAGCAGAGCCTCACCCGACCCAGCCTCGGTCAGCGCAGCCAGACTCCGAGGCGAGTGCCCTACAAGCCTGCGGGGTCAGCCGCCACCACTGGAAGGCTCTAAGCCCTGTGACAAACCCCTTTAGTGTGGTTCTGCCCTCTGAACCCTGACTGACCCCCCCCCCCCCCCCC